GATTCTCTCCCATTCTGAGGGTGTCTGAATGATCTGCTGATTGTTTCCTTTCATGTACACAAACTTTATTTTCACGTAGTCCCATCTGTTTATACTTGGATTTTGTTCCTGTGCTGTTAGTGTGTTTACTATTCAAAAAGTTATCTATAGGTACAATATTTAAAAGCGTGTTTCCTCATCACAGATTTTCCTTCTGCGACTGGTACAGTCTAATCCTGCATGACACAAACACAGCATCCATAGCAGATAGCCATGTGCAAACAATAATCTGTTTTTGGTTTCATGAATATTGCTTGTAAGAGTATTGTGTAAATCCTGTTTCATAGAGTTAGGACGTTCATTATAGAGTGACTGTTAGAAATCATTATTTGAATAGTGGTCTTTACTCATCCACTTCCAAATTTCCTTAAATCTCCTTATATCCATAAAGAAATATGTCTGGTCAAACTGCGCTTTGTCTTTCAGGGTCTGTTGACATTCTGCGATGTAGCTGTCAACTTCTCCCAGGAGGAGTGGGAATGTCTAGACTCTGCTCAGAGGGCTTTGTATGTTGATGTGATGTTGGAGAATTATAACAACCTGATCTCTGTGGGTGAGCATAGTTTGCTTGTAGAATTCCTCACTCAGGTTTTCTGTGTCCCTACTTTATAGTTGTAGGCACTCTGATAAACTGTCATGGAAATAAGAGAAGACTATGGAAAGTTTGGTAGTAGGAAAAAAACTTTTTTATGATCCCTGAAAAAGAAAAACTTTGTTTTTTTAAGTAAGCCTTTACTCTTAATAGGAATCAGGTTTTCTGAACTGTACTCTTCATGGCTGTTCATTAGTAAGTACAAACACTATGAACCTGGGATTGCATTAAACATTTTTCATCATTATCTGAGGACATAAATATTTAAAAATAAAGATGTGCATTCTAAATATAATCCCAGGGACTAATTACTGATTTCTCTAATATTTGTTTCATCTTCCACAAAGGCTGTCAGTCTGTTTTTGTAAGAATCTATATAATTAAGGTGAAAAAAATATGTCGACTACTGGGAGCTCTATTCAAAATAGTTGCAGACCGACTTAACAGAAAAATTAGAGGCAGTAATTTATCAAATGTTTGATTTGGAACAAGCTCTAGTAATCTGAATTGTATTTTTTGTAGAGAACTATTGGATATGTGATCCTGTCTATCAACATGTGAAGAATGAAAAGGATTCTTGCCAGTGTTGTAATGACCTTGTCAAAATGCTTCATGACCATTCCAAATATGCACTTTATAAAACAAGAGAAGCTACAGAAAACTCTAATACCTACAGGTGCAGCAATCACGTTGATGCCTCTATGAACTCAGCAAACCTAGATAGACATGAAAGCATGCACAGAGAAGAAGAATCTTATAAATCTAAAGACTCTGAGGAGTCTTTAAATTTATATTCCAACATTTCTCAAGATGAGAGCCTGTACACTGCAAAGAGAGAAAACAGACAGGGAGAATATGGTGACAATTTCAACTTAGCATACATTCTTTTGCCCCAAACAATCTACATAGGGAAAAAACTACACCAGTGTGGGCAGTGTGGTAAATTATTCAATTTCCCCTCAAACCTCATTATACATGAGAGAATTCATACTGGAGAGAAACCTTACAAGTGCAATGTTTGTGGCAAATCCTTTACCAATTGCTCAAGTCTTGAAAGACATCAGAGAGTTCATACTGGAGAAAAGCCTTACAAATGTGAGGTATGTGACAAATCCTTTACGGTGATCTCAAATCTTAGAATACATCAGAAAACTCATACTGGGGAGAAACCATACAAATGTAGAGAATGTGACAAATGCTTTACCCAGAGTTCACATCTTAAAAGACATCAGAGAGTTCATACCGGAGAGAAACCTTACAGATGCAAGCTATGTGACAGATCATTTTGTAAGAGCTCAACTCTTCAAGCACATCTGAAAAATCATTCTATGGAGAAAACTTACAGATGCAAAACCTGTGACATATACTTTACCCGGTATTCAAATCTGAAAATACATCAAAGAATTCATCCTAAAGAGAGAACTTACCTTTGTAAGGAATGTGGAAAATATTTCACTAGCAGCTCATATCTTAAAGTACATCAGAAAATTCACAGTGGAGAGAAATCTTACAAATGCAAACACTGTGACAAGTCCTTCACCCAGTGTTCAACTCTTAGAACACATTACAGAGTTCATACTCGAGAAAGAAAGCATATGCAAAGAATGTGAGGTTTGCTTTACTGATTGTTCAACTCTTAGAGCACATCAGAAGATTCATACTGAAGAGAAAAACACTGTTGTAAAGAAGATGACATAGTATTTATATGGCAATACAAATCACATCAGGGGCTGGAGAGATGGCTCAGTGGTTAAGAGCATTGCCTGCTCTTCCAAAGGTCCTGAGTTCAATTTCCGGCAACCACATGGTGGCTCACAACCACCTGTAATGAGGTCTGGTGCTCTTCTGGCCTGCAGACATACACAGAATATTGTGTACATAATAAATAAATTAAAAAAATCACATCAGTATACATGATGGAAACATAAAGGTAAAATTGTAAAAAGCCTTGAAAGAATCTTAAAATCTTAGGAAAATATTAAAGAGTTTATATTAAATTAAAATCCCACAATTCTGTGTGAAAAGCTTTTAAAAATGCCGCGAGGGGTGTACCCCCACACTGAGACAATGGGGATGTTCTCTTATCTTTGGGCTGAGGAAGGAGGGGAACTTGGTTGCTGGAGGGGGAGGGGAATGTTATTTAGACTGATAGAGTGGGATCTTTTGCATTTTGACTGAATGCATTTTTACATTATGATATAGTTACATGCCCTTAGGGGCTAGGGAGTCTAATTTGGTGGTTTGAAAGAAAATGTCCACCATGGTGAGTGGAATTTTAAGGAGGTGTGGGGTGGTTGTGGCCTTGTTGGAGGTAGGGGTCACTGGTTACAGGCTTTGACTTGTCATGTGCAAGCCATGCTCATTGAGATAGTTTACTTCCTTTTGCCTTTGATTTGTTACAGATTAAAGACAGCTGACCTCATTTTTCTTTTTAATTAAACAATGTTAGATTTTGATCACATTCTCAGCTAGAGATTAACTTATTTGGGTGGTTTTTCCTCAAGAACATTGTGAACTACACATTATAAATTGTTTTTGTTGTTCTGAGAATTAATTGACCATAAGATGTTTTGTGATTTGTTAACTCTCTGTTCATAAACATCTACCATTCCCATGAACATAAAAATATCTGCAAAATTCCACTCTTAAATCACTTTCTTGCTTGATATAAAGAAACTACTCTTGCCTTTAATCTGGGCTGTTTTTATTATCCTACTATGGGAGACTGAAAATAAGACCCAGCCATTAATAAATTTTTGCCTTGCAATGTCTTGGCGTTTGCTCCTGGTTTTTGACACTAAAACAGGATCAAAATGTAAAGACTCTTAACCTCCAGTACATTGTCTTCCTGAATGCTGCCTTGCTTCCACCGTGATGATAATGGAGTAAACATCTGAACTGTAACTGAGCCACCCCAATTAAATGTGTTATTCATCTTGAATCCCAGCAGCACTCGGGACACAGTGTTGGAAGACTATGAGTATGAGGCTAGACTGATCACATACTGAGTTCCAGGACTGGTAGGACTACATAAACCCTGTCTCAAAAAGAATCATAAGGATAGAATGTAATATCAAAATTTTGACAAAGTCTTTGTTTTTCCTCTAGTTTTGTTGTACACTGAAAAGGCATGCTTTTGACACCATATAAAAGTAAACCATACCTTATTGTTCATTGGAAGTTCCACCTCCAAATACATTCAATTTGACTATTCCTTTGCCTAGTACTGAAACAGTATACATAGAATTTATCATGAAAGAAAACCCATAATGTTCCAATAAATTTTCATCTTTTATTCACCTTCAAAATCTTCAAACTATAGTCAAACCACACAAATATCAAGACGAGAAACTGTAGGGTTAAGATGCGCATGTGACAACATGTACATGAATTTATTTAGTTTACAAATGACCAAGATCGGGGCTGGAGAGATGGTTCAGTGTTTGTTCTTCCATGGGTCCCTGGTTTCATTCATATCATTTAACATGGTAGCTCCCAACTATGGGACTTGTACCTGAGGATCTGGTGCCTTCTAAATTATACACATAAGCCGGGCAGTGATGGCGCACGCCTTTAATACCAGCACTCGGGAGGCAGAGGCAGGCGGATCTCTGAGTTCGAGGCCAGCCTGGTCTACAAGAGCTAGTTCCAGGACAGGAACCAAAAGCTACGGAGAAATCCTTTCTCAAAAATCCAAAAAAAAAAAAAAAATTATGCACATAATTCATTTATATACTCCATAGACATGCAGGCAAAACACCCATACACATAAAAGTGGGACCATCCCCCAACCACGATGTAATGGTAATAGCCTCATTCTTCCAGAACTGTTTGTTCTCAGTACTTTTTGAACAGCAATTTCAGTGCATTATTTACTGTCAAATGTATGGGGAGGCTTCCTTCACTAAAGTTGATTGTACAAATCTTAATGAGGATGAATTATTCAATAACAGATTAGTAATATGATCATTAACAAAACGTTATGTTCTGCCCTTGAACCAGTAATCTCAACCCATGATCTACCATGTTTGCTGTTTCAGGCAAGAATTCCTTTCTGTGGAACTGGAATCAGTCCTATTGAGATTAAGGCTGATTATGCCCATAAGCAATTAATTGTGCCAGTATTACCACTGCATGCATCTTATGTTGGTTGTTATTGTAGATTGCAGGTTATAGTGGTAAGATCATTGACATCCTTTCCCTGACTGGAGCCCACACAGGACCTTGCAGGGTTACAATAGCCAGCAGAGAGCTTTCCTTCACAAGTTCAAGATGGCTCTCTTGCAACCAAAACTTTGGAGTCTTCAGCACCACCATGTACTTAGTGACAAAAAAGCACTGACAATGACCTGTTTTGCTTGGCTTAACAATGGGGACCAGTAAGTCCTAGGCAGATAGACATTAGCTGCTGGTTCAGAGTTTCATTTAATAGTTCTGGTGTCTGGGAGCAGGACTATTTACCCACGTGGAAACTTCTGTTCAAATTGTAAAATCATATTTACTTACATAAATTACATTTAACTTGTAAGACATATTCCATGAGACTACTTCTTATATCCTTACTATTGATGTACAGACAAATCAACTCTATAAAGAAAAAGGTGGCTCATTGGTTTACCAAATTAGAATTTGTTGTCTTCCCAATTTTGGCTTGTCAATGTTTCCTTATTTATGATAAGTAGATGTTTGTCATTGTTTGCACAGGAATAGTATTACACATCAATTCTCTAATTAGGTCACACTATTTATTCATTAAACATCTAGATTGATTTCAGAAGTTGATTCTTTAGTTCTCTCTCGCACAGCAGTGTATTAACTTCCTTTTCCCACATTTATGCCAACATTAGTTATTTCAAGGCCTATACAAGGACAAAAAAAAAGCCTTTTCTGGAATGAAAAATACTTTGCTCATTGCCTGCTTGCTCTCGCTTTGCTAATACATCCATTTCTTCAGTGGCATTGGAATTTCAGCATGTAGTGTAAACCAGCTGAGACAAGCAGCCTTGTAGACTGATCAACTACTGGATCATTTGGCTTTCTGTTCACAGTCAACCATTGTTGGGTTAGCTGGACAGCAGCCTGTAAGCCATTCTAAAAAATACTCTTTTATTTATCAATATATAGAAGGATATGTAACTATAGATCCAGAGAGAGATTTAGGGGGCGGATACACAGATTTATTTTATAAGTTAGGTTATTCTAGCAAACCCCTACTAATACAGATTTGGGTACCAAAAGTGACTTCTTAAAATACCATAAAGGGCAACAAAGACCTCAGTAATGAAATTGACTGGCTCCAAATATGAATAAAGTATACAGGTTCCTAATTGTGCTCTGGTAGAGAATCTTCCCTTCAGCAGTCATTAGTTGCACAAAATCAAACTGGGACCCTCATTATAAAATGGGCTGTTACTGCATTGAAAAGTTAAGTTTCAGCCTCAGAGGTGTCGTGGTTAATGTGTAACTTGGAATGGGGATGTGGGATAGGATCCTATTGAAGCTGAGAACTTGAAAACTCAGATTCTCAAGGGCTTATCTCAGCTGAGGAAGTAGTACCCTCAGCCCCAACCCCTTAAAACATTGCCCTTTTCATCTTTCACTTAGGAAAGTAATCCTTCAGTATTTGGCAAACCAGGAGTGACTTTCTCTGAAGAATATGCCACTGAAGACTATCGATGTACTTCAAGGTTCACCAATAATTGCCTCTAAGCTTAAAACCAGACTCAAGCAAAGCAGGTTCCTAGAAGGGTGATAGTGTAGTCCATGAACAGCTGTGCTACACTTCTAAACAAATTAATGATTTTGTTAATTCATTCAAGCAGAAGTCTGGTGAATATATGTGCTAATGAATTAATTTTATGGGATAATAGTGGAAGGAACATATAGCTAGATCAGGCAGAATATTTTGATATGGACCCCCTGAATGGAGATGGTTGGCTGAAGCATTTGTCAAAAGATATCCTACTGGGAAAGAGTTGGAGATGTCTGATTTCCCTTGGATTAGTGTTGATGAAGGGCTTTTAAGGCTCAAGAAAATTTCAATAGTAGAGTGGATGTCTTAGGATTTCTCTTACTGTGAAGAGATACCATGACCATGGCAACTCTTGTAAAAGAAAACATTTAATTGAGATGTCAGCTTACAGTTTCAGAGGTTCATTATCATCATGATGGGATCTTGATGTGCAGGTAAACACGATGCTGGAGAAGGAGCTGTTACATGTTGCTATGCAGGCAACAGGAAGTAGACTTTCTCACTGGGTGTGGCTTGAGCATATATGAACTATCCAAGCCCACCTCTACATTGATAACACTTTCTCCAACAAGACCACACCTAGATCAACAATATCACACTTCATAGTAATGCCACTTCCTTTGGAGGCCATTTTCTTTCAAACCATCGCAGTGGGTGTGCTGTGGAAACCAAATCCCACACCAAGGGAAGGCCCAGAAGGCATGCTCTTCACAATTCATATAAAATGCAAACAGATGAGAGGGGCACCAGCACATTTTAAAAGCTTTGTTGCCCCCCCCCCATTTTTTTTATTGTTCCAGGCCTTAGGGTTGGAGATGTTGCTGCTCAATTCAATGAATTAAATACAATAGGTTGCTCTTAAAAATAGGGCCCCTGAGATAGGAGGGACCAGATAGCAACTCTAAATCACCAAAGGCAATGTGGTTGTGGTTATTGTAATAAGCAGCACGGACAAAGCTTAGACAATTATGAACATTTCCGTAATTGCCTAGCCAGTGATGGTTAGCATGGGCAAAATGAATTTTATGGTGGCATGACTCATATGGACTTTTTGGTACTAACTATTAAGTCATGGTGTTTCCAGGCACCAACTAGACAAGAGGCATACTAAATTTGTGTTTGCTTTAAATAAGCAGAAAAATGCTCAAGAATCTTTATTTCCATGTGTTACTCCAGTCTAATAGCCAAGTGGCCCAGAAAGCTGCTCGCTTCATATGGGGTAGGGAATGGGAAAAGGCTCTTCAACAGGTTCAGGCTGCTGTGTTGGCTGGTCTATAACTGGTGTCATAGGATCCAGCAGAACCAAGAGTACTTGATTGGGTGTCAGTGGCAGGTAAGGATGCTGTTTGGTGCCTTTGGCAGGCCCCCAGAAATGAATCACAGATGTAGTGATTAGGTGAGCAGGTTTTTGGCATAGAAGTGAAGGAAGTGGATGATATCAACCACTCCTATGAGCTCCTTAAAGTTCTTGACCTCAGCTATGATGGGCGCTCGAGTGGTGATGACGAAGAGGGCATCCCCAAGATAGGCCTCCTGGTGCTCATCCTTGGTGCCATCTTCATGGAGGGCAACCGTGCTCCTGAGAAGAAGATCTGGAACATGCTGAATACGGTTGGCATATTTCCTGACCAGCATGATTTCATCTGTGGGAATCCCAGAAAGTTCATCACTGAAGAATTGGTTTCCGAGAAGTACCTGGAATACCAGCTGGTACCCGGCAGTGATCCTCCATGCTATGAGTTCCTGTGGGGCCCAAGGGCCCGCGCTGAAACCAGCAAGATGAAAGTCCTGCAGTTTTTCTCCAAGATTGTCCGGAGCAGCCCCACGGCCTTCACAGCTCTGTATAGGGAAGCCTTGAAGGATGAAGAGGAGAGAGCCCAGACCGCCCTTGCCTCCGTGTCCAGTCCTGTTGCCCCGGAAGACTCAGGTTCCGCGGACAAGCCCAGCAGCTTCTCCCGCTCTGAGTAAATTGAGGCTGCTTTTTCACACTGATTAAAGACAACAGTCAGGTATTCGAGTAGAAGAAAGTTCGGGTTCTTTTTCTTTTTGTTCCGTCTTAAAGGGTTTATTAGCTTCAGAGTCTCCATTCATTAACTGTGGCTCCCACGTTTGTTTCAGAAGAAGTTCGCTGCTGTGAAAAGCGTGTTGAGGACATTCTCAGCTTTGAGGTCTAGAGGAAGATCAAAGAGCATTGCAACAGAGCTTTCCTTGGACGTGTGAAAGATCTAAAAAAATGACAGATTCTGTTGTTCTTGTAGTCTGTTTTGTGAAGCTAAACATGTTCACCTCTTACTTGGTTGATTTACTGAACAATGTATGTGCAGTTAAAGGTTAATAAAGGGCACTGCCCTGTTTTCCAAAAAAAAAAAAAAAATCCATTTTGGCTCTTCATATACACTTTCGTTTGGGGTGCCTTTGGAGCCTCTGTGACCAATAAATGCTAGGCAGAGCCATAGACAGAATGATCTAACTGACTTTTTAGGTCTGGGACCACATACCGTGCTTATTTCCTGCATCTGGGACAGCAAAAGTCTCCGCTTTCACCATTGCATTTAAACAAAATTGCATTTTATCTTAAAAGCACCTTTAGCATGAGTTGCAAAAGAAAAAACTTGTTTTTGAGTTAGTAAAATGACCATCTAGTGACTAAAGTAGTATAGGGCGGAATAAACTCTGCGCTGGGCTGTTAGCGATGTGCTAACATTCTGGAGACACTTTTTTTTTTTTTTTTTTCAAAATCCATGTTCCTAAAAATGCCTCTTCCCAAGGCACAATTGGAGTGTTTGGTTTTGGCTTGTCTGTGTTGACGATGGGACCCTGACATCTGAATTTAGTCTTTTAGAGTTAAGTCTGTAACCCGGGACGCTGTTAGTCAAGTCAAGGTTAGGCTGCCCATCGTTTATTTGGAGGGTTCAGAACGCCGTGTGGGGGTCAGATATTGGGGTGCAGCGTCCTAGTAGATCCAGTTTTGGTCTAGTCAGGCAGCAAGCATTGGGAAGCTGTGCAGAGCAGGTCCAAGGCAATCTGACAGCTGGAGCTTGTGGAAGGCGAGAGTGGGAGGGACGGTTCAGTGTGGCTGGAATGCTCACCTTGAAACAGAGGTTAACCTTTGTTTAGGTGGGTGTAGAGGAAGCTTGGAGAACGCGAAGGATTAAAGGAAAGAAGCTAAAACACCCAGTGAGTGAGTCCAGGAAAGTTGAACAGATGCGTCAAACTCAGAAGTATCGAGTACCCATTCTCTCTTGTTGCTAGGGGGCCTGCACAGTGGGGAATCCCGTTGTGCAGACCTGGATACAGAGGACATTGTGGCGTGGCGTGGGGGCACGAACCCCCCCCTCCGCCCCCGAGTTTCAATCGCCACATGGGACAGCCTGGGAAAGTCACCAGTCGGCGGCGCTGCGGTGGTGGAATCACAGACCGGCTGTGCTGGAACCTCTAAGGTCAGAGGAGCTGCAGGACGGGGACCCAGAAGAAAAGGGACCAGGGGTTTGATCAGTTTCTCTGCTGTTTATAAAGATGTCGGCTCTCAAATTCTGCTGTGGATGTCTTACCTTTGTTGTAAAATTTAGATCATGTGAAATGGACTAATCCCTTTTTTCATTGACCTTATGATTGCCAAAATATTCTTATAAAAATACTCTTGTAGAATATTTAAATTTATCTGTTGATATTTGCTGACATAGTTCTCATTGGTGTGTTGGAAAAAAAAAACTTTTCACATTTACAATCATCCACTCGAACTTCTGTGTTCCTTACTCCAGAGTGTCGCATAGAACTGGGAACTTGGCATTTCTGGAGAGCTTTTAGATATTAGTCTTGAAAGGAATGCCCTCAATATTAATTGAATCCACACATAAATGTATATGTAGTGCGTTTCACAGGTATGGTTTTAAACAAACATTTAAAAGTAAATTTTTTATCCACCATTAATTTTCCATCTGAGACATATACACTCTGTGATGTAAATAGAGCATTCTGAAAAGTGCCTTTGGTAAGACTAGTGACAAACCCTTTAACCCCAGCACTGGGGAGGCTTACACAGGTGGATCTCAGTGAGTTGGAGGCCGATTTGATCTATATGACGAGTTCCAGGACAGAGCTACATAGTGAAACCCTGGCTCAACAATCCATAAAATAAAAACAAAAACAAAATGAAAGAAGAGAAAAAGAGAAAAATGTATCTTCTTGTGCTGAGTTCCTAATGTTGGAATTTAGAGCCTGGAAAGTCACAGTCTGGAGTTGGAGAGTATCATGTCACAGTATTTTTATGGTTAGAAAGGACATAATAAAGCCAAGGGGCAATAGTGTCACATGTTTTAAATCCCAGCACTCTGGAGTTCCTTGCCAGCCTGGTCTCCAGAGTGAGTTTA